GTTATTTAGTTTGAATTTGATCTTGATATGAGGGCAATCCACCACATTATCTTGTCATATAAGTGAGATTTGAACAATTAGCATACTTGAAGAAATCATTGCTAGTGGAATTTCGGTTCTTGCAAGTCAAATTCTTGAATTTATATTTGATTACAAGGACAAATATCATCATGAGACCTTCACATTGAGCAAGCAATTAATTATAATTTATTGTATGATTTAGGACATATAGCAAAGCATCTCCTTCTCGATAGAGATTACAATCACGAAAGTATTAAAGCATGCATCTAACAACTAGCATGCTAATTTAGAGGAATAATTACCTCAAAAAAGTACTAAAGCATCTTAATCCACTCAATTCAAGAAAAACAATTAAAAGTAATGATGTATATGTGATGACCCCACTTCCTCCTAAGGCGAACCAAAGGATTGGCGGGCCGCCTGTCCAACTCTCGCCAGGACTCACGCAAGCATTCTAACCCAAATCCTTTCGAAAAATAACCTAATCTATTACAAAACAATTCTCCCGAAGAAGGCCGTCACTAGAACCACATTAACTTCCGAGATAATAGTAATTTAATGTAGCCAATCGACGGCTCCAAAAAAAAAATCCCACGCGTTACGAACTGCGGAATAGAATCGTACCGTCCGAACTAAGAAAAAAATTCATACAACAAAATACAACAATCAAGCCAAGCATCCAAGTTAAGTTTTACACATTTTCCAGCTTCAAGTGGCAATCCAAAATAAAAAGTACATTATCCAAGTTAACGCACTACAGCCCACAAAAGTAGTCATAGTATCCAAATACATCCCAAAAGGAAAACATGAGTAAGTTTCAAAACTTTCAATTTCCAGAACCTGTTAAGGAAAACAAATAAACGTGAGGTGAGCTAAAACTCAGTGGTGCCCCAAAAACATGCATCTAAATAAACAATAGCAAGAATCAATATTGACTAGGGTAAACAAGTAGGAAAGCGGATAACAACACAAGGCAGGATACAGGGGCTCTCGGGGGCCATTTTCCTCGCTGGATCACCATTCATCGTAGTTGACCCTCCGTCAACTCTCACTACTTATAGTCCATGTAGATCCTCTCATTTTTACTCCTAACCCGTCACAGTTCTTACCCCTGTCCCGGGCCCGAACGCCAACTAAGGAAGCAGTATACTCGAGATATACCCTTAGAAATTGGGAGCAGTATACGTGAGTATACCCTCAGGAATTGGTCGAAGGATTCACCCAACGACGTTACTGCAGTTGGATTCAGGAGTCGAGGGATTCACCCAACGACGCAACTACATTTAGATTCGAGGATTCACGAGTCGAGAGATTTACCCAACGACGTTACTGCAGTTGGATTCAGAAGTCGAGAGATTCATCCAACGACGCAACTACATTTAGATTCGAGGATTCACGAGTCAAAGGATTCACCCAACGACGTTACTGTAGTTGGATTCAGGAGTCGAGGGATTCACCCAACGACGCAACTACATTCAAATTCACGAAAAAAAAATGTTTCACGCAAGTCACCACTCGAACGGCTAGTGCGATAAAATACACACTGCTCACTTCGATGGATCAAAAACTAGTTTTGCAAGTATCACATTTCAAGTCAAGAAAGCACTTTAACCAAGTAAGAATAGAACAAGCAGGGACACTCACCAAGAGTGAAGTTACTGATCAAGCTGGGAATCAAAATCTGCGTCCTCGCTAAATCCTAAAATACCAAATTTTAAAACTATAAGTTGGCTATACTAGTTCTAGGATTACGTAGGAAAATTATTCGCAGTATAGCTAGTTTATTTGCTTGGAATAAGTCAACAAACCATGTAGTATTAAAACTAGTAAAATACTTTGTAAAGTTTCTTTAATATTACTTTTCTTGTAAAAGTGTTACTAGAACAAATTTTATGTGAAATAATGTTTCTTACCGAACAAGTTTTTTGCACGTTTAGTTAAAATCGCTAAAATCTCGTGTTTTGGAAATTTCCTCTAGAAAACTAGCAAGGGACTGGTCTTGAAGAAAGAAAAGGAAATGAAACAAGACTTAGGGTTTTAAAAGCTAGAAAAGTTATTTTCTATAACTATCAAGGCTAGTTTAAGCTAAAGGAAAGTTGTCGGTTGGCAAAAATTTAAGGCAAACTACTAATTACTGAAGTTTATCGATTAATACTAGCATAAAAATATTTTTGATTAGCTTGATCAAAATTGCTCGAGTTCACAGGGTCGAATCGACTTTCACAGGTTCGATTCTATTTCGAAGTCACATTATAACCTAGATTTGCCAACAAATAAAAATCACTTTTCAATAGCAAATCACTAGGGTTTCGTCAATCATTAGCCCTAGGTTTCAATAAATTCATTTCTGATCAATAATAAAATGAATGACCAAGGCTTCGTCAATCATTAGCACTTGGTTTTGGCAAACCCATATCACATTTCAACTTAATCAAAATAAATATAAGGCCTCCAAGCAATTCTAGCAGTTAATTTCATCACACTTTAACGCTTATATAAAATCGTTCAAATGGCCAAGAGTTTCATCAATCATTAGCCCTTAGCATCCAACAATTAGTTCTTATAGCAATAAAGCTAACATTTCAAATGTTTAAATTGACTAACAGGTGTTTAAAACCAAGGACCAAATTTGCGACAACCTCATACTCAAGATCGCCTCCAATAATCTCATTACACGTACACCAATGCAGATTAAACATTTCACAATAGTTATATTCCAAAGTTATCCATTCCAGTACCGATAACTTCATCACAATATTACAGTCATAATAAAATCAAATTGTCACTCCAAAATGCACATGCAAGACCCTCTTAATATAGTTTAAAGTGAAATCAATGAACATAAGATATTTTACAGCTCGAAACAGCATTTTTAGAACTAAAATTCGCCACAAGAAATCTGGAAAATTCCTTTACTACCTCTATCAACTTGCTTGAAAATTTTCTAGGTCTACACTTCAACATTTTTGTTTAAATCTTCCAAAATATCCAGTGTTTTGTAGCTAAACAACTTACACAGCTTGAAGTACACATTTTTCATGCATTTCAAAACCATTATACTCCAAGGAAAATTCCAGAAATTCCCCAAAATTCCAGAAATTTTCCAGCTATCCTCGGATGATCCTGCCTGCATCAGATTTCTGTTTCATTTAATTTTTCTGGTTTAAACCAATTAATTAACTACATGCAGAGCTTACTTATTGGTTATAAGCTCAAAACAACAAAATTATACCAAATGAAGTTGCATTATTCAAGTCAAGCCCTCGGCAGTCTTAATGACTTGCGTTCATCAGAATTTTCTTTCCTAAACCACTCATCCGGCTGCCTAAAATCAACCTGCATGTTCCTAGATGGCTTAATCTTCTTGTTTTTGATTGGTTAAACATATAATTAAGCTCAGATTGTCACAGGGAAACAAAAATAAAGCTGCATTATCAAATTAATTCTCGAAAATTCTGATTTCTCAAGCGCATCAGAATTTCTTCTTCTAAATCACTTATCCGAATGCTTAAAATCCACATGCAAGGCCCTAACCATATTAATCATCCAAGCTTTAATTAGCTAAACATAATTACAGCTCCGGATTATCACAAGAAAGCAGGTTTACTCCAACATTTCTTAATCAACTTTCGGCCGAGTCATTTTTCTTCCCAAGACAGGTTTTCCTCATGCTTCAGATTCATTATCCGGATGCATAAATCGACATGCATGGTCTTAATCATCATGTTTTCACGTAGCTAATTCCATTTTTGTGCTCAGATGGATATAAATAAACAAATTAGAATCTGCATTTTTCGATTTAACTCTTGGCCGAACCAAATTTGCGCACTTCAGGTTCTTTTCTCTTTCTTTTAACAAAAAAAAACATTATTCGAGGGTTTTAAAATCAACATGCAACCCATAACCGACTTCTTTAGCTAGTGGTTAGATAAATAATCACCAGCACAGACTCAGCTTACTTCGAATTAATGGACTGATGGCTACATTATCAAATCTCCAGCCCACGGAAGTTTCTATTCATCAAAACAGGTTTTCTCAAGCTTCTGATTTCAACATTCGATCGAATAACTCTACATGCATGCTCCTAATTAACTCAATCAACCTCTAACTAGTTTAATCCAGCTCAGAAATTACCTCAGCTCGCGGACAGATCAGAAAAATTTCTGCAGCTCGCGGTTTTCTCCTCCCTTGCTCTCGGATGCAGCTCACTCTTTCTTCTCAATCGATACACACGAGGTGAAGGTGGAGTGCGGTGGTGGTTTGAGATGCAGGAATGAGGAGGGTGGAGAGAGAGGGAATGTCTCGCGGTTTTTGAGAGGGAGGTTGAGTGAATGAGGTGATTGAGTGTGGGGTTGGTGAAGGTGCGGGTTGGCCGAATGGAGAGGTGGTAATGATGTTGTCCGGAATGCGTTGGGATTGCATGGTGATTTTGTGGGATTGTGAAGGGTATTTTAGACTTTTCACTTTTCCTTCTAATGACCACTTAACCCCTTGATTCTAGCATAATCTCACGAATTATCCCTAAGAGTGATTTAAACTCCTAATAATGTACTAATCCCACAAGGATTTCGATTATCGAAACTTTTACGTCCTACGTATACCTAGTATACTTAAACCATTTTTATCGAAAATTTATCGATTACATTTTAGTATTAAGGTTCCTAGTAATTCCTAACATTATTTAGCGATTAAATTAGTTATCAGAATTTTTCATTATTTATTCTCAAGAAATAGAGTTAGTCTAACTCGAAATTTATTGATTTAGTATAATAAGGTCAAAGGAAATAATAATTTGATACAAGCGGGTCAGTTTGCACATAAAAATTATTTTTACGCACTTTTTGTGAAACAAAGAAGGATAAAACTATAATTTATTGCAGGTTAAGAAATGCAAATGAAATATGAAATGATATTTGTCTATATGCATTTTCAGGGTTCTCACATCCTCCCCTCCTTACAATGAATTTTGTCCTCAAAATTCACACTTTCGAAAGAAATAAATCGGAATACTTTTTCTGCATTTCTTCTTCTGATTCCCAAGTTGCTTCCTCTAATCTATGATTTCTCCACAGAATCTTCACCAGAGGAATTTTCTTATTTCTCAGTTCCTTTACGTCCCTTTCCAAAATCTTGACTGGTCCTTCTTCATACGTTAACGTCTCATCCACCTCAATTCCTTCCAGTTGCAACACATGACCTGGGTCGGGATAATATTTCCTAAGCATGAAGACGTGAAATACATCGTGAGCCTTGGCCATGCTTGCAGGTAGCTTCAGCTGATATGCTACATTCCCGACTCGTTTCAAAATTTCAAAAGGTCCGATATATCTTAGCTTTAGTTTCTTACCTTTCTTAGATACTACTCCGCCCTTCAAGGGTTTAACTCTTAGGAGAACTTTGTCTCCTACTTCGAATTCCAAATCTTTCCTCCTTGTGTCGGCGTAGCTCTTTTGTCTACTCTGGGCAACTTGAAGCCTTTCTCTAATCAATTTTACTTTCTCCTGGACTTCTTCTATCCAAGGTATCGCTGTTGGATCTACGACTTTCTTTTCTCCAATTTCATCCCAATGAATTGGAGATCGACACCTTCTCCCATACAACGCTTCATAAGGTGCCATCTGAATTGAAGTCTGATAACTGTTATTGTATGCGAATTCCACTAAGGTCATATATTGACTCCATTTACCTCCAAAATCTAATATACATGACCTCAGCAGATCCTCCAAAGTTTGAATTGTCCTTTCCGACTGCCCGTCAGTTTGGGGATGATACGCAGTACTAAATTTCAACTTGGTCCCCAAAGACTCTTGAAATTTCTGCCAGAAACGCGAGACGAACCTTGGATATCGGTCAGATACAATACTTACAGGAACACCATGTAATCTTAGGATCTCTTCTGTGTACAACTTGACCAATTTTTTCAAAGAGAAACTCATGCTCACTGGTAGGAAATGTGCAGACTTAGTGAGTCGGTCAACTATTACCCAAATTGCATCAAATCCTTTTTGGCTTCTAGGCAATCCTGTTACAAAATCCATTGTTATATGTTTCCATTTTCATTCAGGGATTTCTAACGGTTGCAATAAACCAGAGGGCTTCTGATGTTCAGCTTTTACTTGTTGGCAGATCAAGCATCTCTGTACAAACTCTGCCACGTCCTTTTTCAAACCTTCCCACCAGTATAATCCCTTCACATTATGATATATCTTGGTCACACCTGGGTGTATAGTATACTTCGATCGATGTGATTCTTCTAAAATTCCTTTCCTTATCTCTTCATCTGCCGGAATCACAATTCGATCTCGAAACCTCAATACACCTTCAGACCCTAATTTAAAGTCTAGGGTTTCCCCTTTTTGCACTTTCTCCAAATTCTTCTGAATCATAGGGTCCGTTTTCTGGGCCTCCTTAATACGCTCTAGTAATGGTGACTTCAACGATAAGTTTCCAAATAAAACCTTCAATTTCTCCAAGCGAGGGTTCCAACCAATTATTTCTTCTAACATGTCCCACTCTTTAACCATTAACCCTGCTACTTGGGCCTTTCTACTTAGAGCGTTAGCTACCATATTGATTTTTCTTGGGTGGTAATTAATCGAACAGTCATAGTCTTCCAGAAATTCTACCCATCGCCTTTGTCTCAAATTTAGTTCCTTTTGGGAGAACAAATACTTGAGACTCTTATGGTCCGTATACACGTCAAAAATCACACCGTACAAGTAGTGTCTCCATTTCTTTAAGGCGAAAATTACTGCAGCTAGTTCTAGGTATGAGTTGGGCAGTTTTGTTCGTGGGATTTCAATCTCCTAGAAGCATAGGCAACTACCTTACCCATTTGCATTAAGACACATCCTAGACCTTCTCTGGATGCATCGGAATACACGACATAACCTTCTCCTCCATCAGGTAATACCAAAATATGAGCGGATGTTAAACGCTTCTTTAACTCCTGAAAACTTGACTCACACTTCGGAGTCCAAATAAACTTAGTCCCTTTCTTGGTTAGCTCGGTCATAGGTCCTGCAATCTTCAAGAAATCCTGGATAAACCGCCTATAATAACCTGCTAGTCCCAAGAAACTTCTAACTTCAGTTGGAGTTTCTGACTGTTTCCAATTCATAACGGCCTCAACTTTTGCCGGATCCACGGCAATCCACTCTTTGGAAACTTTATACCCTAGAAATGAAATCTCATCCAGCCAAAACTCACACTTACTGAATTTGGCATATAACTTATGTTCTCTTAGTATCTGCAAAACTACTTCCAAGTGCTTAACATGTTCCTCTCGAGTTTTGGAGTAAATCAAGATATCATCTATGAAAACCACTACAAACTGGTCCAGATACTTCTTAAAGACTCTTTGCATTAGGTCCATGAAAGCAGCTGGTGCGTTGGTTAATCCGAAAGGCATGACTGCGAACTCAAAATATCCATACCTTGTACTAAAAGCAGTCTTGGGTATATCCTCCTTCTTAATTTTTAACTGGTAATACCCTTGCCTTAAATCCAGCTTAGAGAAGACCACTGATCCTTACAGTTGGTCGAACAAGCTATCAATCAACGGTAGAGGGTATTTTTTCTTAATTGTAACCTCATTTAACCCTCGGTAGTCGATACATAGTCTCAAACTTCCGTCATTTTTCTTGACAAAAAGAACGGGTGCTCCCCATGGTGAGTCACTCTCTTTCACGAAACCTTTCTCCAACAAATCCTGCAGTTGAATTTTCAACTCCTTTAGCTCGGCAGGAGTCATTCGGTACGGAGTCTTAGAAATTGAAGCCGTTCCAGGCATCAAATCAATCTTAAATTCCACTTCTCTTTCCGGCGGTAGAGTCTTTAGCTCTTCGGGAAAAACATCCAAAAATTCCCGTACCACTGGTACATCTTCTAATTTCACTTGATCACTGGGAGCATTAATCAAGAAGGTTAAGAAACCTTGCGCTCCTTTAGACAACATTTTCCTTGCCCGAATTCCTGAGATCATAGCAGACGATGCTAACTTACCCTTAACATCTAACCTCAGGGTTGTTTCTCCAGGTATACAAAATTCTATCACTTTCGCTCGGCAATCAAGCTTAGCATGATACTGGCCTAGGAAATCCATTCCTATGATAACATCGTACCCTTTTATGTCCAGACTGATTAGATCCACTAGCATTTTACGCTCTCCAATTTAGAATTCACAATTCTTATAGGCTAAGCTAGTGATTATCTTCTTATTACTCATTGGTGTCCTAACTTCAAGATCGAAGGGTAATCTAACAGGTTTCACATCTATTCCAGACATAAAAGATGGATTTACGAATGAATGGGTTGCACCAGGGTCAATTAACACTTTAGCTAATCGATGAAAAATCGGAAGTGTACCTTCCACAACTTTCGAGAAATCAGGTACAGGTTGGTCATCTATAGCATACACTCTGGCAGGAACTGTCGGCCGGCTTTCTCCAGATGTGTTTGGCCTAGCGTTCGGAGTAGTCCCTTCCTGCACTTTTGGACAACCAGAAATTTGGTGCTCAATACTTTCGCACCTCAAGCACTTTCCTTGCTTCTTCCAGCAACCGTCTATAGTATGACCAGGTTTCTTACAATAGGCACAAGTCACTTGGGGAATTATTGCTCAACCTCCCGACGAGGTGTTCCTAGGTTGTCCCCTTCCATTCGGTCCCACTCTAGTTCCATTATTTCGTCCCCCTGCATTCCTTGCCCCGGTTCCTCTTGCTTGTGCGCCTCGTGATGCTCCAGGACTAGTCACTCCAATGGTTCCTCTGCCCACTTTGGCCGGTGGAGCATTTCCATATGCCGGCTCCCGACTACTGCTAGGAGCAAATCTTTTCTTGGCCTGAAAAGATTTCACTTGAGCTCTAGCTACTTCAACTCTCTGGGCTCTCTCGACGGCATCTGCGAAAGTGTCTATCCTCACGGCAACTAAACCTTCCTGTATTTCCACATTCAACTCCTGCGCGAACCTTCTGACACGCCTTTGCTCCGTGGCTATCAATTCAGGAGCAAAGCGGGACAGTTTCGTAAATTGGACCTCATATTCGGCGACACTCATCGTCCCTTGCTTACATTTTATGAAGTCGTCCTCTCTCTTCTCTTGAATGAGAGGTGGAAGAAATTTGGCATTGAACTCTCTTGTGAAGTTCGCCCAAGTCCTTGGAGTATGGTTCGTGTCCCAGGTAACCCTTACCAGATTCCACCAGGAGCGAGCAGCTCCCTCAAATTAAAATGTGGCAAAAGTCACATGTCGTTCCTCCGCATAGTTTAAGGCTGCGAAGATATCCGTGATTCTCTCCCACCAGCCTTCAACTGCTTCCGGTTCAGGTCCCCCATAAAATTTGGGAGGTCCAAACTTTAGGAATCTCTCTAAGGCCCGATCCTCCGCTTCGGCTAGGCCTCCTTGGCGGTGCATTGGTCCAGAGGCTTGGTGTTCAGTCAAGCGCTCTAAGACATCAGTGATACGGTTGATTGCAGTGGCCACTTGATCTCCGGCCAGACCCTCTTGCCCTTGGTTTTGATTGACCTCCGGCTCCCTATCACCACCCGCTTCCGGGTGTTGCCTAGTGGGTCTCCCACGGCTCCTTCCTATCACCTGGCGATCCATAGCCTAACTATGCCTATTACGGAAGGATAAGACAATCAGGTGAAAGTATTACCTATCTACGATTATTATTATTCTCTTTGTGATTAAAATCAACATGAAAATGGAGGGGAAGGAAATGAAACACTTAACATATATTTCCGCGGGGAAGTCATACAAATAGCGGGTTGGGATATTCCCAAAAGTAAGGCACATAAGTTAGCAAAAATACATACAGATAATCCCTTAAATAAAAAAAAAATTAGGGATATAGTGTCTCGAAAGCAAGTCATCCACCTAGATAAAATTTGATGACTTAACAAATGTCCCCCTTTCCTAACCCTACATATCTAGAGTAAACAGGTCAGTCCTAACCTAACCCTGGGCAGGGCTATCCGGAGCAACGTCCTCCTCCGGATCCTCCTCCGGGTCCTCCTCTGCACCTGTCTGCTCGCCACTCTGAATAAAGCTAGTGGCCTCGTCCATCATCATTGCGGCATCAGCCCTGATGCCGGCACTCCTATCACGCATCCTCTCGGCTAGTCGAGTCGTCCTAAGCTTCTGTCGCTTTATCTCCAAACGAGCGGCCTCCAACTTAGCGTGCTCAGCGGCTAGCCTACTCTCCAAATTGGCTATGCGGTCGAACTGAGTATCCACCATAATACTCAGCTCCTCCACGTCCTGGGTCAGGGTATGGTTGGCGTCCCACAAGTGGCAGCGCTCATCATCCAGGGATAATACCAAGTCGTTGGGATACGCGTGTGTGGCTCTACACTGGCATCTAGGGTGCCTATCAGCGGGTGAGTATCGAACTCGATCTCCTCTACCTCGAGGCCTATAGGAAATGGATCTCAGCGGCTCTACGTGTCCATTGGACGTTCCACTACCGTTAGCATGTCCATTACTATTCTCCATACCTGCAAAGTAATCAAAACTTAAGGGTTAGAACTTAGATAACTAACTGGATCGGATATTACTTAAGATATATCTAATAATCTCAATTCTTATTTCTAAAGAGGATTAGGGTTTCTAACGCATCTAATATATCTCTCAGATAACTTTTCTAACCTAGGCTCTGATACCACCTGTGACGACCCCACTTCCCCCTAAGGCGGCCCGCCAACCCTTTGGTTCGCCTTAGGGGGAAGTGGGGTCGTCACAGTACATACTTTAGATTTGTAGCCAAATAGTTTTAAGTAAATAGTTAAACATATTGGCAAATCAAATGAAGTGAAAAATTGTCTAAATGGAATAGTCAATAAAGGAGCAAACGATTTGAAAATTACCCTAACTAATAGTTAAAACAATAAAAGAAGTAGATGCAATCTATAAATGAAAAAATTTATGATGATAAACTTATTTTAAACCATAAATAACAATTAACAAATGTGGTCTCTTCCTTATCAAACTTGTCTAACATGGACAATTGAATTAAAATATTAAAAAATTATTGCA